GTGTGTGTGTGTGTGTGTGTGTGTGTGTGTGTGTGTGTGTGTGTGTGTGCATGTGTGACAGAGATAATTAAGTCTTTTACATATATTTAAACACCACCAGTTCGTAAATTAATTAATAGTGCTTTATTTTCCTTTTCCACTAAGACCAAGAAAGTGGATCACATCACTCCAGTTCTGAGGTCTTTGCACTGGCTTCCTGTCCAACAAATAATTTACTTTAAAATCCTGCTGTTGGTTTATAAAGCACTGAATGGTTTAGGGCCAAAATACATCTCTGATCTGCTGCTACCTTATGAACCATCCCGACCCCTTAGGTCATCTGGGACTGGTCTACTTTCTGTTCCCAGAGTCAGAACTAAACATGGAGAAGCAGCATTCAGTTTCTCTGCTCCACACATCTGGAACAAAGTCCCAGAAAGCTGCAGGTCTGCTGAGACCCTCAGCTCCTTTAAATCAAGATTGAAGACTTTTCTGTTTGCTGCTGCCTGTAATTGAACCAGATTCAAGGATATTAATCAATTTCCTGAATTTCTGCATTTTATTACTGTATTTTATTTCTTACACTGCTTTTTAGTGTTTTAATGACTGTTTTTAATGTTTTAATCAATGTTCTTAATTGTTTTTGAATCTCCTTTTCTTTTGCCTTATGTTTTGATGCTTTTAATGGTTTTATGTGAAGCACTTTGAATTATATTGTTGTTGAAATGTGCTATACAAATAAACTTGCCTTGCCTATCCACCAATACAGGTACAGGTGTATTTATATGCCATATGGCATGCCAAAAACAAAGCAAATTGAGTTTTGGAGAGAGAGAGAGGCTGTGAATGAATTTGCCCTGTTGAGTTTGTATAGTTTACGAATTTCAAAGACACAAATAACACTTGGCATGAAAGACCAATTTGTCAAAATAAGACCGCAGAAAAGAATATTTATTCTTTTTTTTTTTTTTTTAACCTTTTGTACCTGGAAAGTGCATCATAGATTTTACAGTAAGCAAAATTCATCTTTAAGACATGAACACAGCCGAGCGACATTCACAATCATCATTTTTGGACAATGTGTTGCATAGGAGGAAACGTCTCTTAAGCAAATGTATAAAAATTATTTATATCAGATGAAAATGGGGGGAGGTCGGCGTGGGCTTTGTGGTTCCATCAGAGCAGGTGTTGTTGGTCGGTTGACACTTTATTGTTTAACCATGGCAGCGAACTCTGTGGAGATACAAGAAAACACACAGTTTGGCATCTATTTTCCAGCAAAAAATAAATAACCATCCAAAGAATGCTGTAACCACTTTGCGTGACAAAGGGTCCGTACCTTCAGCTCCAATCTTGCCGTCACCATCGGAGTCGCCGGCCTTCAGGAATATCTTGGTCTCGGCATCCGACAGTGCGCGTGCACCTGCCTTGAATGTCTGCAGGAACAGCCTGCAAACACAATCGGTGGGTTAGTTCACGGACCCCAGCTCCCATTGGCTGACACACACTTCATGTTATATAATTGAAAGCATTAGGTATAAATAGAAAGTGTATGTAGTGGCTGAAGATAGTTTGACCCTGTGGTTTCACAATCAATCAGTACCCTGAAGAACAATTCATATACCCTCTGTCATTAACTTAATTGATGTTTCATGCAGATGATATCAGAACAGAAGATGCATCAATGTGATTTGTGGATATCTGTTGAGGACAAAGGAAGTGTTGAGTGTCTTACTTCAGCTCCTCCTCCTCAATGAAGCCACTGTTGTCCTGGTCAACGATGCCGAAGGCCTTCTTGACCTCAGCGGCAGACTTGCCAGCCAGACCGCATGTGTGGAAGAACGTCTTGTGGTTGAATGATTCGGCGGCTGAAATGAACGTGAGTTATTACTTAAGCACAGCCACATACAGGAGCTGCACAAGAAGCCCAGTGATGCTCGAAGCAGGGAGGGCCTGCGATTGGGATTTTGCAAGAGTCACCTTTGCACCCTTCCAGGGCTTTGGCGATGTCGCCATCCTTCAGTCCTACACTTGCGAATGCCATTTTGAGCTGCAGAAATCAAATGAAAGTGGTTACTTCTAAAGTAACAAAAGCATCACATATTGTTGACCATGTGGATTATGGTTAACGACATTCATTTTTTTTCTATTAGAATAGGTAATCAATCACATTATCATTAAAACAACAGAGCAGCACTATTTGCTCAATAGTTGAAATATAATAATAAAAACATTCTGTTATTGGTTCCAAATGGAATAGAAATAGACTCAAATGGAAATATTTAAAATTTCAAAAGGCAAATTAGTCAGTCCACTTCTTTCTGTGAGTGATATGATGCTGCATTTCCAAATCCGGTTCTAGAGGCTGAGATTGTTCCCTACTGCAACTCTATAGATGCTGGGAGGTCTGACCAGTAATCCATGTCTTCATGCAGCTGACGCTCGTGCAAGAAAAGCCAAATAAAACTCCTTCTTTGGATGCTGCATTGCAGTGCAAAGTCCAAAAAATAATTAAAAAATCAATGTTTTCTGAATCGGTGCAGGATGCTGAGGCTCTGTCTGCGTGGATCCCAGGTTTCTTTTCCATTTCCATTTAAACTCACCTTTGTGATGTCTTTGCTTTGTAGACTACAGATGAAACAGACAGGACTTGAGTCGAATGCGGTGATCTTCCCCGGTGCTCCCGATGACCTTTTTATAGTTTCCCTCCATCGAAATCTGAGGCATAAGATAACTGACACCGCCGAGAAGGGGTGG